AAAAATGATTCTTCCAACTTAATTTCTTTCTCTTAATTTGTGTTTACTTTTGGCAATGCTCTTAACTGCAGCTAGCCCAAAAGGCAATTTAGAGTCAGAGTCATGCAGCACAAAAATCAACCCTTTGATCCAACTCATCCATGCTGACCAGATATCCCAATCTGATCTAGTCCGGTTTGGTCCATATCCCTCTAAACCTTTCCTATTCATATTTCCATTCAGATGCATTTTAAATGATGTAATTGTACCAGTGTCCACCACTTCCTCTGGCATCTTGTTCCACACATGCACCACTCTCTACGTGTAAATTTACCCCTCGGGTCCTTTTAATATCTTTCCCCTCTCACCTTAAACCTATGCTCTCTATTTTTGGATTCCTCCACCCTAGGAAAAACACCTTGGCTATTCACCCTTTCCATACCCCTCATGATTTTATACTCCTCTAAAAGGTCACCCCTCACCCTCCGATGCTCTAAGGAAAATAGCCCCAGCCTATTCAGCCTCCCTACAGCTCAAACCCTCCAGTCCCAGCAACATCCTTGTAAATCTCTTCTGCACCCTCTTAAGTTTAAAAACATCCTGCCCACCGAATTGTTATGCAGTATTCTAAAAATGGCCTCACCAATGTCCAGGTCAGCTGCAACATGGATGTCCCAACTCCTACACTCAATGTTCTGACTCTCTGCCACTCCTCAGCCCATTGGCCCATCCAATCAAGATCCTGTTGTACTCCGATAATCTTCTTCACTGTCCACTACACCACCTATTTTTGTATCATCTGCAAACTTACTAACCATACCTCCTTTATCCATATCCACATTTATTTAAATGAAGAAAAGCAGTGAACCCTGCATTGATCCTTGTGGCACACCACTGGTCACAGGCCTCCAGTCCAAAACGCAACCCTCTACCATCAACCTCCACCTTGTACCTCCAAGCCTGGCATTCCAGTCAGATGCTGTCTGCAAGTACTGCATCCATTTCTGGTTAATGAGATAAAAGAACTGGAGACATCCAATCACAAGTAACATTGCAAAGGAGAGGAAATGTGCTGCCTAATATTCTTTCAAATTAAACCAAGTGCAAGACAGGATGTGACAGGTTCAAATCAGAGAAAGGTAAATTTATGACTGATCAAGAAATCCTTCCAAAGAGGCCAAAGTTCACAATTCTGTCTAGGAGCAGTTAAGTGAAAATGGTGGAAGTGAAAGCTAAATGGAGGAGGCATAACGTTATTTCTGAATGGAATAATTAAGATAAGCCAAATGATTCTCATCATTCATCTCACCTTCAGACAGAATGAAGCTTTCCCAACTTTTTCAACTGGAGGAACTGTATAGGCAAATGAGAGCGAGCGAGAGAGTGAAAGAGCGAAAGAGATATATGGAAGAGAGAAATGGTGTGAAAAACATGGGGGAAGAGGATTGGAAGTGCAGATGAGGGGATGTCTATGAGAAAGGGCAAACGATGGAAAGGGAGAAGGAACGTATGCGTACAAGTTCACATAAGGGTCTGAATGGAGGAGAGACAAAACAAGTTAGCATCTCTTAGAGCAAAGGATAGTAAACCTATGAAGGGAAGACAGAAAGCAAGTCAACAGAACAAGAACAGGGAGTGAAAAAAAGAGGTTGAGTGGGTGAAAAAACAGGGAGCGAGTGTGTGCGCGCAAGGGGAGGCAGGAATTAAGAAGCAGACACCATATTTCCCATCATGAACCAACTCACTAAGAAAGGCATAATGAATAGAAATACCTTCAAGAACAGAAGGTCCTTTAGAGGTGAAAGAATCTGATGCAGAAAAAGAGGGTTCAGAAAAAAAAAAGCATTCTGCTAAGATTCAGAATACTGTCATGTCCCTTAATTAGCTTTTTCATTCACACTGACAATTTAATAAGTGCCCCAACTATAACTGATTTTTCAAGTACTAGATACCTGGATGCATAAAAGAAGTTTCTCTCTTATTTAAATATAAGTAAAGAGCATACTTAAGCCATACTGTCACCTAATCATGCTGGATCATAATCATAGCTAAAATTTGCATGCCTTCACAGAAAAGTTTATGCTGTCACAGAATCTTAAACTTTAAAAAAAAGCTCTAATCATTACATTCTTATTTTTGATCATCTCTAACTGCTTATTAGATTTTCCTTCCTTAAAAGATTGTGAACTGAAACTCATGGCTTTTTGGTTTAGTTCAAATGGCATCAGGGAGTGATTTTTGCCACAGGCAGTGAGTGTTTTCCGGCTGAATATTACCAGCTCGCCAAACTAATTGTTGCTCCTCCCCTAGGGATATGTATCACATCCAATTTCTGCTCTATCTTACCATATACTGGTTCCAGAACAACTTGCCGCTTAGCAGTTATCTGTCCTAAGACCAACATTCTTTGTATCCTCACCATCTTTGAATGCTTGTTGCTCATCTGGAAGAGCACTGGTATTTGGCAGCTATCCGTCACTCTGATACAAGCAGCAAGGAGATGGAAGAGAAGGGGTAGCTAGCACCATGTTACTCAGAGAGGGACCTGAAGGTCCTAGCTGATGGGGTTTGGACCACCAGAGAAGGTTCCATCACCAGACGATACCAGGCTGGTCAGAGATAGCCACTTGTGTTAGTTCCACCTCCCGAGGACGGAGCTGCAATGCTGAAAGGTCTAGGATCTTCTCTGCTCTGTCAAGTATCATACTCTGCTCTCTCTCTCTCTTACTCCATCCCTGCCACTGCACAACCCAAAAAACATGCCCTCCATATGCACCAACAGTAACAGTCGTGCTATCCATTTACATCTTTCTTATTTATCTCATTTATGCAATTGCAGAAGACATTCTATGACCAGGCAGAATGACAGTGTGGTGCCGGTTGGGGGCGGGGGGTGGGGGGGGTGGGAAGAGAGAGAGAGGTGTGTCGCGATATTGTGTCCTCACTTCCTTAGACAGACGAATCCTTGTCCTTACAGAAGAGGAATGGGGACTGCTCCTGCAGGGATGCTGAAATGTCCATGACCCACCAGCTGAGTAAGCACAGCTCATCATTCCACTGCAAAAGCTGACATTAACCAAAAAAGTGTCAACGCCTGCAGGGAACACGACCCCTAACCACTAGGCAGAAAGCCTTTTGTTTTTAATTGCATTACAGCTGCACCAAGCCACCAGGGCACACTCATGGAGACCCGGCTGCAAGTCCCAGAGGAGGTGTCATCAACTGCTGGTGACAGTGATGACTCTCCGGAGGAAGCATCAGCAAAGTATCTGAAATAAGTCCAGGAAGGCCGGTATCCAGTCACCAAGTCACCCTATATTTACACGTGCATAATACATGACACTGATCCAGCGGGTACAGAGCTGGCTCCTAAAGCAAACAGAACGCCTGACACTACTGTTCTTATCTATCAGTCAGGACTCCCTCATTGAACCGACTTAAAACCCCCAAAAAAGAAATCACTCAATGAGGTCCACCTGGCTGACCTCATTCCAATCACCATATATTTTCCTCCAGCACCCTCCACCAGATGAGAGTCAGGGTCTAGGCATCTGTTTAGCCCCCAGTGGATGACCAGTGGTGTTAATTGTGAGGAACTTCATAGAAATGCATAGGGAGGGGCAGCAGTAATAGACAAATGTACAAGATGCACTGAGAAGCTTGAGAATGCAGCACCTCCTCCATATCTGCCTCCATGGACAGGTTGGCAGCCGCAATACAGAGGTTGAGTACTGTCAAGGGATATTGGAGAGAGGCATTGCTCTCCATAGTCCCAGGCACTGATCCTCAGTTATGAAGGCAGGGTGAGAATGGGGCAGCTGGCCAGACCTCTCAGAGATGCACCTCTCCCTTCTCGGTGCCCATTCCATCAACCAACAAGCTTCACGTTTTGCCAGGTCATCACCCAAGTCACCAAATGCACTTCCACTTGCTCACCATCCTGCATCCTCTACCCTGCAGAACTACTCCCCTATGACTTTCAGGCTTGCTGCTCTGTTTGCTGCAGATGTCATGTGTTTGGTATGAATGCTGCTGCCAATTATGCTATGACAACATGCATGCACCCTTAACTGAGGAACTGATGCACAGCCCCTGGCCACCTACCTGGTTGTGAGACTGGGCCAACTACCATTGCAAGGCACGGCAGGGCAAGGCACAGCATGCATGCTGTGAGCAGGCACGCCTGTAGGTACCAGGTGAAAGTGCACTAAAAGAGCAAGAAGAGTTGCCCTGGTAGACAGCCTGATCCATAACATGCTTTGGGTTCCTGTTGCTGCTCAGTACACGTACCCAATGCTCATAATAAAATACTGGCTGCCGGTATGCCCTGCTAGACAAGTTTGGGCTTGCAGGCTGCACTGCTGGTATATTGCAGAAATGCCAGGATGATGGCAATGGCTCCGTGAAAGTCAGGCATTAGTGTTCATGGTAGAAAGGTGTGTGTGCGCTCATTAATTGTGCCCTACTCTGCAATTTGGCCTCGGGCAAAATGGAGGTGTTTGGAGGTGGCAGTGAATCCACTAAGCACCTGTTTTCTGGTTTTCCTGATGCCTAGTTTGGCAAGATCACAACTGGAATATTAATGATCAACAAGGACCTTTTTGATCACTAGTTCCTGTCAATTTGAAATTCACCAGTTATTGGCAAGAATCTCAGCATGCTGCTTGTGGAAAACGTAAAACATAAAACATAGATTAAGATGATCTTGAAGTAAAGATGTACTTCACCAAACATCTCGCCCAATTCTGTCCCACATCTTACCATTGCCCACAACATTCAGACCTCTAAGATTCTGACCAAACTTTTAAACTCAGTTATCATGCAAACTAACTGCAACAATTAAAGGTAGAGAGAGTGTAGGATAATGTAGCCCATCACAGAATTAATATAAAAGTTCAGATTCTACATGGAAATGGAATTAAAATTGGTAGCTCTAGGTTGCATGGTGAAGCTAGAATGATTGTTCAAATAAATTGCATTCTGTGTTGTAATTTCTACAATTCTAACCACAGATAGATCAAAATAAGCCGCCATTGCACTGCAATGATTATGCATTTTAGATACCTGCATTAAAGATGTCTACCTCAGGAAAGTGTTCAACGTTTGTAGATGTAGCAGGACTTGGCTCAGGAAAAGAATTGAATACATCTAGGAAAAAGTTACAGGAATTATATATAGTACCAAAATTTCTTTTCCTCCACCATCTCATCCCATAAATTTTTACAAATATGAATGGTATCCATTTAAAACAATTAACATGGGTCTAGGCCCGAAACATCAGCCTTCCTGCTCCTCTGATGCTGCTTGGCTTGCTGTGCTCATCCAGCTCTACACCTCGTTATCTCAGATTCTCCAGCATCTGCAGTTCCTGCTATCTCTCTCCAACACAATTTTTCAAATACTTTACATTTTTGACATTTCAGAACTGAAGTACATTTAAAACTATTTTTAATTTGGTACATAGATTCTTCATAGTTTTAATGAGGAAATAAAATGGTCGAAGTAACTTTTTTGAAAAACTGTCCATCCAAATAAACTTTGAGGGGCTGGCGCCAAAAATATGAAAATGTTTATTCCTGCAGTCCTTTAAAAATTGACAGCCGTAACAACACAATTTGGTAAGTTACCAGCTTAATATTTTAGAACCTAAATTACACAGATCTGAAAGATGTGTGAAAATTCAGAAACACCAGTGCACTTGCCAAAAAGTCAAATGTAAATTGGAGTACTAAGTTTGATTGTAGTGTCCAATGTTTGAATAAGTAGTAACAGGACGAGAGGGTCAGATTTCCTCATACATATATTATATAAAACTTTTAGACAGCCATGTTTTTAAACTACTTATTCAGCCCTTCTACCATCCAATAATTACGGAAACTAGCAGTAGAAAAACCTTCCAACACTAGCACTTTCAATATTGAAGTCTAAATAAAATGTGAGACTAAAGCACATTTTGTAAATGATAGAACTGAGCAAACACCAGGCCAGCCACTCATTTATAGAAATATAGATAAAAATCACCCAAAAAGTCTTTCACACAAACAGTCCAAGCAAGATGCAACAAATGAGGTACTCTATGCCAAGAGTATGAGCAAAGCACTCATGTTTTGAAGGATTATCTCAAATTCATTTCAGATAAATACTGTAAACCTAATTTTATGTTAACATCCAACGGACACTCTTCAACACCTTGAAAGATAAATTCCAAAGTCCGAATGAAATTAGATAAAACAGAAACATCGACTGTATTTATACAGGAACATACTCAAGTCACTTTTTCAGTATGCCTCACCATACTACTCACCATTCTGTTGGTGCTGAAAACTTCAGGGCCACTTATTTATGGCACATATAAATTGCTCAAAGTTTACTGGGTAGTGATGGTGGTATTGCTAGGGGAGAGGCAAGTGATGAAGTGGAATAAGGGGAGAAGATGCTGATATGTCCAAATCACAACCTCTCTCAGCACTGTAACTTAAGACACTGCATTGATTAGTTAACTGGCTTCCTCCAAACCTTTGATTAATAGTGAAGCTTTCTATGAACATTGTTACATGTCTGTTCTGAAAGGGCAGATGTTTTCTTGCTATCTTTGAGGCTTTGAACTCATTTCAGAAGTAATAGTCAAAAGTTACGAGAATAATTCTAAATGCAAAGATATTTAAATCTAGATACTGTATTAAAATTGCAACACTTAATTCAAAATAAATTTTATCACAGGATTAATGAGTGTAGTATACCCCTTTTTTTTCAAAAAACTCAAGTCAGGGTAAACACCAAATTTGATATTTTCAAGTTTTGGATTGCAGAAGAGGGAAGAGAAGGTCAAGTTGAAGCAGACAAGAAAACACAAACACAATAGGCCATCTACTGTTGAATCTTGGCATTACTGGTCAAGTTCCTAACAGGTTTCTTGTACTGGTACTTATTCTGCAAGGTACTCGAGTGTAGAGTTGATACAAACTTAAGATGAATTGCCACAAGCCCATATTAGTTTTGTTCAATTCTGGACAGCAATAATTCAGCATTACTTTTGATTTTTGAAATTACTTTCAGAGAACCAATACAACTGTATAAGTGGATTTACACAAGAACTAGGAGCAGGAGTAGGCCGTCTGGCCCTTCGAGCCTGCTCCGCCATTCAATAAGATCATGGCTGATCTTTTTGTGGACTCAGATCCACTTACCCGCGTTCTCACCGTATCCCTTAATTCCTTTATTGTTCAAAAAAAACTACCTTATCTTTAAAAACGTTTACTGAAGTAGCGTCAACTACTTCACTGGGCAAGGAATTCCATAGATTAACAACCCTCTGGGTGAAGAAGTTCCTTCTCAATTCAGTCCTAAATCTGCTCCCTCCAAGCTTGAGGCTATGCCCTCTTGTCCTAGCTTCACCTGCCAGTGGAAACATCCTCTCTACTTCTATCTTTTCTATTCCCTTAATAATTTTATATGTTTCTATAAGATCCCCCCTCAATCTTCTGAATTCCAATGAATATAATCCCAATCTACTCAGTCGCTCCTCATAAGCCAACCCCCTCAACTCCGGAATCAACCTAGTGAACCTCCTTTGCACCCCCTCCAGTGCCAGTACATCCTTTCTCAAGTAAGGAGACCAAAAACTGCACACAGTACTCCAGGTGTGGCCTCACCAGCACCTTGCACAGCTACAACATAACCTCTCTGCTTTTAATTTCAATCCCTTTAGCAATGAAGGACAAAATTCCATTTGCCTTCCTAATTACTTGTTGTACCTGCAGACCTACCTTCTGTGATTCATGCACATGTCAACTATGACCGATGAGTATGTATTCGGACATGTTCCATCCTTTAGTTGAAAGAAAATATGGTATTTCTAGACAAAGCTAAAACACAAAAGGACTACAAGATTTAACTCAGCTGATTCAAATTTAGATTTTGCTTCCCTTCCCTCAGAGTCCAAAATACATAATCAGAAAGGAAACACCTATTTCCAAGCTAAATGAAATCCTGAAGTCAATTTGTATCATTCCCACAAGCAAAAATGCAAAACGTTGCCACTTCAAGAAAGCTGTGTGACTAAGTTTTCCTTGAATATTTGAGAACACTGCAAGATGCTTAGGTAAAAACTGAACTACATTACTTAGTCTGGAATGGAAACCTCTCACTGTACTCATTATATACAGCATTACCAGTCCAAACTTTACATCTTCACCGTTACAATACAGGGCCAGCAAGCCAAACCAAATCAGCCACACTATCACTGGATTTGCAACAGTAAAATTGAAACATTCAATGACCATCAAAATTACTCAACTGCTCCCAACCAGACTTTACAAATAATAAATCTTAGATATCAAGTTTATAACTTCAACAATTTATTAATAATGTAATTTTGGAACAGCATAGCTGAACAACCCAATTTAATTAATATCTAGATCTAAAGTTCAATCATCTTTGATCATAACCCCCACTCTCACTTACAAAGATACAGTTAAAGGAATAAAAAAAGGAAATTGAAGAATTGTAATTTTCAGTTCAATATTAATTTCAAATGAAGGATTCACGGCTTCAGAAATCCTTGGACAATGGGTTGTTAACAGGCAAGTAGAATAGTCTATCTTACTTGAATTCCGTGTCACTGGTTAAGGCAAACAGTTTCAGCAGATTAGATTTCTTTTCTCAGAACATTCGATAACTGGAGAGAAACTAGGGGGTAGAGAGAGCAAAATGAGGCAGCCCATTCTCCGGAAGTTTTCAAAAATAGTGCTACATTCTGCTAAAACCCAATCAGAACCATTTCTCTTTTTTAAACTTCCTTTCAATCAATATTCTTTGTAGTTGTCCAGTTAGCACAGATCCTTCCTTGAATTCAACATCCAAATCAGCTACCAGTCCCAAACAAGACAACACTTCTGTGCCAATTCATCTAGTATTCTTAGAGTAGTAGTTAAGTTGCATTATTCTTCAAGCCAGTTCCCAACAGAAAACATCTGCCTCTGAATACTTACTTGTTTTAAAAGAGAAAAGAACGAAGTTCAATTCTTAACTTGAACTCTCAGCTCCAAACCAAATATAATAAGAGAAACAGATGGTCTCAACAACCCTCAAATTATTTAAGGATTTTTCTTCCTTTAGTACACTAAAAGGAGTGTAACTTGGATGCCCTGTCTCAAAGATCAAGAGAAAGAAAAACTGTTATCTTCAACTTTCTCTTGGCACCTAGTTTTCTCTCTGGTTTCTAACCAACGGAGTCCTCAATCACTCCATTCTTGCCTTAAAATACTTCTCTCCATCTCAATCCATTCTTTTTGTCTACGAGACCTTCAAACTGTTACAAATGGCTGAAATTTACTAGAAATCAGCTAAGTGTGGAGTTTTGTGGAGGATTTCTCTAGGTGATCTCTAACGAGCTCTCACATAATTCTCTGCTGCTCATCTCATTTTGAATGCACCATGCCTCTGTGGTGCTATGCTTGCACTATGTTCTCGGAGGAAAACCCAGCAGTGTAGAAAGAATGACACTTGGCGTTCTGCAGGGATGAATGCCACATCTTCTCTCGGTTACCTCACACTCACTAACTTTGCCACTGCACACGTCACCCATCAAGGCTCATGGTTGAACACGTTCGACATTGCAAACAGCTTCTTCCTTTAATGGGTCTCATCCGCTCCATCCTGCCACATAACTAAATCTTCTTGCCCTCTGCACTTTCTATTCCTTCGCCTTTCTCCAACTACATCAACACGAACTGCAGTACCAGCCATCTCCATCGCACTCAATCTGTCATTTTGTCTCATTGCGGGACAAAATGGTCCACAATAGGGCTGAAAGAGACGGCGTGCCCGACCTTCATCTCATCAGCTAATACAAAGAGATAACCCTTTAGCTTGCAAGAGAGGATAAAGAGAGCTAAGGCAGGATGCCGGGATCTGCATCCTGGCAACAAAATAAGATTAACTGTAAAGTGCTGCGCTGCTCTCCTATTCTACTAATCATATTGTGATAACCCCTTTAAGGGCCACGGGGATTCACTAATCTCCCTGTAGAGCTTATGGAGTACAAGTTCTCTTGATAACAGGCAATGACCTGCTCAGCTGTAATTCATCACCCAAGTCAGAAAAAAAAGACCCAAATTGCCCATAATGGGTTTTGCTTGTAAATATTT